GAAATAAATCTACAATCACGTTTGTCAGCAGCAGAGCTTCCAACACCCAGCTACCGTAAGTTAAAACACACTGGATGGGGCAATGAAAAACAGGAGGGTTAACAAGTCATGAATGATTTCAGGAGAGGAGAAGTGATTGGGTCTGTTTTTATTATAATTATTAAAGTTATGTAATCAACACAAAGGACCAACTTACCGCTTACACAGCCCTGTCCGTGTTTCTACATGCTCCAGCAGACTCTGGTTAGCTGAATGTTTTCTTTTCTGTTTTTTCTGGTGCAGCAGTGTTTGTTTGTTGTTATAAACGCCGATGCAGATTAAATGCAATTAGCTCATATCGGCCGATAATATCGGCCGGTCGACATATCAGCCGGGCTCTAGTACTGAAGCAGAGGATGCAGAACTGAGTCATCATCATTGCAAAAATGCAAAGATGAATTAAATCATTAGCTCTAGGTGGTTGTTTGGAAATGACTGAAGATTCTGTATGAAACACCAAACCTGTCCATTTGTGTTGTGTGCTGTCCTCTTCTAAAAGTAAGAAAAGAAATCCTGTTGAAACTCTGAACTAAAAATGGACAAAGTGGGTTTTGAAAACGTATGTGCATCCAACCAATAGCTTTTTTCTAATGTATGCAGCAAATACATGCTGTAGTTATCAAAAGACTTGTTTCTGTGACATAACAGGGAGTCACAGTCGATGACAGAGTCTCCACAAGACAGGAACAAAGAGACAGCCGTTGCCAAATAGACAGAGGCTTGAAATGTTTGAGAAACCCAGACTTAACTGAATCCACAACTCAGACTTTGCTTGCAATGCAGAAAAAAAGTAGCAACTGTAATGATTTGATGGATATGTGAAGTGCTGCAAACGCAGTGATTAAAACTTAAAATACAATAACTTAACCTGAACTACTGAATCCTGGTTCTCTAAACATAACTCTTTAATAACACATAACACTTTTCACCCAACTATGGCATTAAAAAAATAACACAAGGTCAGTCACTGATTTTGGAGTCTTCTGCTTACAATATTTTCAATCTGTCTCTGTTGTGTGCGTTCATTCACTGTGTAATACAGAGGTAAACAAGACTCTACAGCCAGGTGGCAAGCTAACACAGAGCTGCCAACTCTCACGCATTGAGCGTGAGACTCACACAATTGACACTTTTCACATGCCCTCACGCCATACATCAATTTTCTCACGCATTGGAAAAACTATTTCCTATAATTGATAGTGTCGACTCAGCGTGATTATACTCTACCCAGCTGATGCGACACCGGTGGGCGCTGTGACTTATTAACTAACCTATAGTATTCCATACATTCTCTAGAATTAAAAGAAATACAGTCTCTGGTTTTGACACATAGATTCTGGGGAAGGATGGTTTGGTCGACATTAAGGATATCATGTCTGGAGGTTGGCAAGTATCCTGATCACACTGATCTGACCATGATTATTGACTTGGCTTTTCATCTATACATGCATGTTGCTATGGCATGCGCATTAAAGAGTGATGACCCAGACCCCTACGGTGGGACATGACACAGTAGGCCTAAAATGAACCAATCTCCAATACCGAATCTGACTCCAAACTAAACTGAAAAGTTCTCAGCCCTGCTAACATATACTACGAAGCTAAACTATGACAGTAAAAATTAGGTGAAAGCGAGATGGGGAACGACCATAGACTGTATAAAATAAGGGAAATGGGAATGACATGCAACAAAAGCCCAACATGAACCAGGGGTGTTTAGTTGATGGTTACCAGAGGCCGGAATTTCAGAACTTGTCATCTGGATCAGGTCGATCCTGATAATGAAATCTCCTTTTTTGTCAGTGGCAGCAGAGGGAGAAAGCTGTACACAATTCAGCCTTCAGTGGATCAATAGAGTGAGCATGCCTCGAAAAGATGAGGTCAAATTGACAAAGCTAAGACTGGCACATTGCGGTTAGCAAGTAGGTTGGTGCTAGTGGGTATGCACAGAGACAACAATAATGAACACTGGACTCCTGGAGTCTGTACAATATGTCTTATCAAATGCCTGCTTTATGTCAGGGAAAAGAGGCTTTTGTTCATAGAATCGGGCAAACTGGGAATTAAAAAGAGATGATAAGATAGACTTTATTGATCCCACACTGGGGAAATTCACTTGCTGTTTCGTTAACACTGCTGGGCGATGGGCTGCTTCAAAGAGAGGTATAGGGAAGTAGTACCTACACTTTGGACCTCCCCTTAGTTTACCTGCTCAGATTTGCTTAACATAAACATGAAGGGATTATGCTTATGTTATATATGATCTCACTGACAGGCAGAATTAAAACAAGACAGCCTAACATTGCTGTTTGACAGCACAGACTACCCCAATAATAAGGTATTTCCTATGGCATTTATTAATCTCTGGAGATGTGTGAAAAACTGTAAAATTCCCCAAAACTACTGTATCTCTGAACTATCTCTATAACCTGATCACACACATTTATATGTCCCCTTTAGATAATTAATGTAAAAACTACTGTAATATTTTTTTCACTGAGCCATTAAACTGTTTGGAGCCCCCCTGGGGAGGATCTCCTCACAATTTGAAAACTTTAAAATTAGCAATATCAACACTACACTGTGGGAGGCAGCTATGCAGCTAACAGACAATTCCTAATCTACCAGAAAAGAAGAAGTAGCACAGCGTTCGCTTCCAAATGTAAGTATACTTTTTTCTAGTAATATGTAAAATGTAAGGAGCACAAAGCAGCCTTTAAACTTAAAAGAAATAGTGATTTATCGTGACAACATCTTTGGCCATATCTCATCCCATTCTCTAATAAAACTAGCCTAATCAATCTGGGCACTAGGGGGGCCTGAAAGTCTCTCTCAACAGCACCTGCAAGACTTCTCCTGTAATTCTGTCAATAGCACAGTTAATCACCATGGCCCAGTGCTGTCGTTGATAACTGTCCCTTATATTAAGGGACAGGTGGCTCAAGCCTAATTGGTTTGTTTGTGTCTAGGTGGACTCTCCAGGGTGTGGGACCTCTCAGCAGCCGCATGCAGTTCAGACCATCTTCATGCCAACTGTGGCCGCATCATATAGAGTTTAGTTATCAAATAGCTCCAGCACTATTTATTAAAACTGACCATCCTTCCTTCCATCCACTAGGCCATTTCCTCTTTTGCATATGGCTTTCCCAATATCTGCCTTTATTTATTTATTTTTGGGTTTAACTGTAATAGGCACATTCAATTTAGAGTTTAAATGTAATGACCATCTTGGGTAACAAGAAGAATTTGTCAATTTATGTCAATCCGTGTCTGAGGTTGGATCCAAATGATTCAGAATTTTGGCATCAAAGTGATCCAGATCTCAGACTTAAATGTTAAATTACCAATGCACAATTTTGTCCGGATTAAAACGTAGGATTAGATTACCAAATCTGAATCCTAATCTTCAGGATCAGAAATCTTTTGGATCTGCTTTGATATACCGGACTTTGAATATGACTTTGTTGATTGAAAATCAATAGGAACCTGCAAATCGTGCAACACTGACACAGTCTACACTATCTTACAAGAGAAACAATTAGAATTTCTTGAAAGAAGAAGAAGAAGACCCCATTCCTTCTACATTTGTTTTATTGATAAAACATCTCCAGAATATATATACAAAACATCAGCCATCAAACAGCAGAAAATAAATGCCTTGACATCTGATACAGAAAATCAGCTGTCAAGCTCAAAATCACTGCATGCAGTTTCACAGCGCTCAAAACTATTTGTCTATTATATAGAAAGACACTGAGCTTCTTGTCTGGAAAACAGTGAAAATTACATTTTGTAGTCGATTACTGTTGGCTAAACTCAATATTATCCATACTTTAACTACTACCCAGATCATTTTCATTAAATCTATCAGAAAGTTTTTTTAAAAAATGGAGGGAAATTCCTTCATTTAAAAAAATGAATAAGACAAGAAAGACTGATATCCTGTATATACATAATAACTCTAGTGACCCTCCTAGAGAGGAAAGTACATGGCCAATGACAATTAAGGCATAGCTTTTACTTGCTTCTCTTCTTCAAAAGTCGGGGTCGTATTCAGTGAGTAAAGTTAGCTTTTGCTGGTGTCACAATTCTAACAGATGAACAAAAGTAAATGACAGTGGGCTTTGTTCCTCAGTGACATCATAAAATATTGCAGCTACTGTATGCCAGTCACCAGCAGAGAAGGCAACTTCAGCACTTCATCCCCAAGTGTGTAGCTCTGGTTTATAGGGCGGTTCATACAAAGACAGTATGCACTACACAGAAACTTCATTGATTGTTGAACATTTTGAATATTACCAACATGGTAAACATTAAATCAAGTGAATATTTGTGTGCTTTGAGTGAAGAAGAACAAATACATCTGCACTCGGAGCCTTCAGATAGGCTTAGACAAGTACTGAGAGAATGTGTCAATGTGGTGTTGGCAGATTATGGGGAGTACAAAATTATACAAAATTAAATAATTATGGTTCAGGAAGGGGCAGAAGAATTATCAAGAGAGGGAGGGGATTGGGGAGTTAACCGAGTCCAGGGGTTCCCAGTGACAGTTCATCATGGCGTCATAGAGTTCCTCGCTGCGCTGCATAAAATCTTTGTTCCACTGCTCCACGTCACAATCAGGGATGGGCTCTGTAAGATACCACATGTATGTGTATGTGTGTGTGCATGCAAACAAAGCACATGGGCTAAAGTCCAAGCAAAAAGTCTTTCCTTGGTATGCTTCCCTCTTTGTACCCTATCTTTGTACTTTTGTGTCACCACCAGTTCCTTTAATTGGGCTCTGGTGCATTTTATTTGTTATCTATCACTGCTTTTAGAGTAACAAATTCTTTTAAACCTGAGTAGTTTTGGAGTTATGATGTTTTTATTTGTGTATCTTCAGTCGTTGACGAATGTTGCGGTTGTGTCTGGTGTTGTATTTGTTACTCTGCTTTGTCTATTTCAGGGTATATACACAGGAATCTTGAAGTAAAATTCAATACCTGTTAGACCTTTTCAACATATTTTAAGCATAGCCTATAATGTTTATGTGCGCAACATTACTGCAAAAAATGTGAAACAGTGTGATTTTGTATTTTTGTTGGTTCAAACTAGATAACATTAGCTTGCCTGCAAACGCCGACCAGTTGTTAACTACCTGACATAGCTGTAACTTATTTTCAGTCATAAATATCTGAAACCTTTCTGCTAGAAGCCACTAAAAACTACACAAAGCACCTTTAACTTACATTTACTATAAATAGATTTGAGACTATAAAACAACACTTTTTTTGTGATAACTTTCATCGACCATTGTCTCAATACAACATAAGTCAAATAGGCCTAAATGGAACAAAGCTGAAGAGAATAAATTGAGTGATGGATAACGTTAGTAGTGTAGGCAGTGTTGCAGACATTTGCGATCAACAGCTAATGTCTGTACCGTAAAGCTGATTTGTGTAAACTTTAGTAAAACAGATGTAAAATAGAAAAAGGGGAACATGTTGCTCTCAGGAAGAGAAGGAGGTTAGAAGCAGCACATATTGGTATGGTATCCTGGCTCTGGCAACATCTTTCACTACAGGGGCTCGATCCACAACCTGGAGGAGGAGCTAGTATAAATGAGTGTATTAGTATAATATTATAACATTATATTAAAAGTATATTGTTAATATAATAGTAAACTGTTAGTTTGATATTAATGTGTTAATTATATGTAGTTACTATATTCATTATAATTTCATATAATAGTATAGTATATAGCTTACCACTATTATAATATTAATTACAGTTACAGCGGTTTCATTTTGGGGTTGTTTTTTATTCATTAACTTTGTGCAAGAAAAATGTTCTACATGGTAGCTAGTCTCTAACTTTAATTTTAAGTAGGCTACTAACTCATCAATAATCATAACTATTAATGCATAAAAATTAGTTGGAAGGTTTGCTGTAGCACATCAAACCTTTGCTGTGATTGGTCTGTTCACAAAAAGTGCCATTGACGAGCTAATCGGCTTTATGAAAGGTTGAACGTGTTTCAATAAAAAGGCACAGATGTAGCTACATAGCCAGCTAATGTTAGCCAAACCCAAACGCTTTATATCTTCCCTGTTCTCTTGTGTCTCACCGCTTCACCTGCTGACAGTGCATCTTGCTCTAATTTTTTAGTAACGGGGCTGTTCAAGCAGCCACAGAGCTCAATCTGACCATGTTTTTAACAATTAGCATTGGGGATCCAGCGTGGTGGAAAGTTACAGTCGGTTGTGCTCGTAAATCAGTTATCTGGTTCGCAGGGATCTATTTTTAGGAGCCTATGAGTGAAAGGCTTGCACGGTAGATCCCTGCACCTAACGTTACACAGAATAACAACTCGCTACATCTTGCCCGTCTGGTAATTTTGACTATTCAATATAAATAAATACATTCACCCACAGTTCTACCATGCAAACTCTTTGGACAAAAAGGATATTTACATTGACAAAAATATCTACAAAATTTAATACCTTGTTAAATGGTGATTAAGACTTTTTAATGGCCTTAATTTTGGCAAAATTGATTTGTTACCTTTTAAGACTTTTTAAGACCCCGCAGACTCGAAAAGAGGTTTTAAATCTCAAAAGAGATAATCTGGTTAAATAAATTAAATAAAAACAAACACTGTAAACACTGGAGACCTTATTATCTAACCAGAAAGTACAGGACCTCTTTGTGGCACCAGACAACCCTGAAGTTGTGGATTTAAGTCATATCTGAGGTCCAAGGTATACAAAGTTGTCTAAAACAAGTCAGACCCTGCTGTATTAAGTTAAGTAGGCAACAGTAGAATGTGTCAACTAACGGATTGGCAGCATGTCCTGTATGCATTTTCATGTTGAAAAAGGGTCTTACCTTCTGCATTATCCTCCTCTATACCCTCAGTCTCCACGTGGCTCTGCTGGGGAAACACATTAAACATTGGGAATTATTTCTGAAACACTGAAAACGAATGCATCATGTGAATAAAAAACCCTGCAGGAACCCCTGTATTAATGCTACAAGATCAAAAAGGTATAAATCCACGTAATAAACTGTGTTAAATAATGATTTCATTTCCATATATTAAAACATGGACAGATGTTCTTCTAGTTTCCAAGGACAATGAATGGAGAAATGGCACTGCTCTGTCATACTCTAGTGTGGAACCATTTCATTTCTGCCTTTCCATAACAATTTAATCTCTGTGTTTTCAATACGGAGGTAGCTCCACCACATATTTCACTTAGCTTAGCACTCTGAATATTATAGATGTGATCCATGAAAGGTGCCTTTCAGCAGCCCTAAAGCTGTCTTACTTACGTGTGTGTATTTAAAGGATTCGGTCAGTATGTTGGGCAATACGCTTGTTTGTTTGTAGTTTGTAGTTAAATGAGAAGAACGATACCACTCGTGCAATACATATGAGGTACAGCCAGTAACCAGTTAGCTTAGGCTAAAGACTAGAAATGGTGAAAAAGCTCCAAAGGCAACAAAATCAGCCCTCCGTCTCTCATTTGTTGGTACAAAAATCTAAGTGTAAAATTGAAAATTTGTGGTTTTACCAGGGATATGTGCTGGACAACTCCTTGACTCTAGGACGTCACTGAGCCCAGGCGAGAAATAATGCAGCACACAATCTCCCATAAAACCACTAATTGTCATTGCTGTTGGGTAGATTATTATGTCTAGACAGACAGAGCAAAGTTAGAAAGTGAATAAGTGTATTTCCTAAACTAATCCATTACACATTAAAAATAAAAAATGAGGGTTAATTGCTCTGTGCTTTGTGTAAAACCTCTCTGGGTGTCAAAGTATTTCCCTCACCTCTACGGCTCCCGTCATGTCAGTGGACATGGGTGGTATCCCCATGGGAGGTGGTGGCATCATGTGGCCCGGTGGGGGGTAACCGTAGGGCCCGTAGTTGTAGTTGTAGCCACTGTTGTAGCCACTGCTGTAACCACTGCTGTTGTAGCCGCTGTACTGGTCATAGCCACCCCATTGAGGGTAGTAACCCCCCTGACCCCCGCCACTATTGTTGCCATAGTAACTGGACTGGTTGTAGTTGCTTTGGTAGTTCTGGCCCTGGCCGCCATGGTAGTTACTCATCTTCTGGCTGCAACACAAGAAATAAAACAAAGTTTCATTAACATTTTGAAGGCGATTTGAATTCAGCTTTATTATTTGGTTCAAGCTCTATCAAATACATCCCAGTGTTTCCCATATATTGATTTATTTGTCTGCCATAATATCAAATTTTGATTCGTTCAGCCCCTTGCTCTCTCTCACTAAGTTGTGGAGGCTACATGTAGTTGCTATTTCAGTACTGCAGTGGTCTTGTCTGTTCATCAGCTCCAGCTAAAACTGGCTGCGATGGAAACATGACACCTGGGTGGAAACACTAATCTCCATCGGCTGTGACTTTATATCCAAGCTATGACGTCTTTCAGAGCACAAAAACACTGTAAACACACCTGTCACCTGCCCAGCACGGTGCTGATAAACCAGAAAGACAGAGGAAGACTGAGAGTAAGCTGTGTAAGCTTGGGGCTGCACGAGTGAGCGCAGCCTCAAAATAAGTGTGACGGAGGCTCCAACACTGACAGGAACTCCAACCACCAGATACAAAGAGACTCGACGGATCCACCGCAAAACAACATACACAACCGGGTTTGTAGCTTTTTGGTAAAGGACGCTGGTGACTGAAAAGGTGGTTTTAGACCAAAAGCAAAGTGAGCATTGGAGGCGGTGCGTTGACATCCAAAGTCAATGCAAAAACGCGTGGAGCCGCAATTTTCTGTCGGGCGGTGCAATGCAAAGGCCTTCGCGTGAGTTGAATATTTATATATATTGAATATTTCTGAATATGATAATATGAACAGCGAGAAAGTCGCATGACGCTGAGTCACAATAGCCTATCAGATTGTCCGTATATCACAGACGGCTTCAGAGCGTTGTGGAGAGAGGGCCAGGCAGAGCACTGCAGCTATAGCTTTTATTAAATTAGCTTTTTACTTTAGTTTTTGGGACTACAACAGCTCAGCAAATAGCTTCCGTGCACATCCACACATTAAATTCGTGTTTGGTCTGAATGCCGGATAAGAGAATTTTCATTAGGGCAAATGTGGGCAAAAGGTGAGGTATAGGTCATCTTTATGTCACCTTGTATGGGACACTTGGTAGATTCCCATAGAGACAGTAAAAGGATAAATACTGTGGATCAAGAAGTAAACTTCAGATTTAGTTTGGCTTTATGCTGTGTTCTCACTCTGTGCTGCTTCTGCCTATCTCCTCAGCCGAGTTTCAATAAATGTTGCTTTTTTAAGGCATCCCGAGTTTCCTGAAACCTTCTTCATTCATCAATAAGAGTTGACTAGCTCATAAGAATTTCCATCACAGAGACAATAAACCACATAATACAAACACTCAAGCATCTCAGAAGCGTTTCAGCAGTGGAGCGTGCAGCCAGCCCCACTTGTTATTAATTTGTCCTTTTTGTGCTTCTACTACCTTCTTCACAGCTCTCTGTGACCCCGTTTCGTTCCATTCCGTCAACTTCAGGCTGCATTTCCCACGAGGAGCATTTCAGAATCAGAGCATTTTGCCTGCCTGATTTTTCTGTCCGTATACATAACACAGAAGTTAAAGCACGGCATGTATGCACACCACTGATAATTAAAGGACTAATTATAAATAATATTAAGGTAGCTTCAGTGATGATACTTCAGTTGTATCTGCTGAAGTATACAGTGTTTTTGCATTTCTCCCCCAAATATAGGCCCAACTACCTAGAAATCTTCTGTGATGATGAGTTTCTAACTTTAGGAAACTTATCAGCCTTTTCCTGCTCTGAACTAACGTTATTACATTGGCCTTTAAAAGTCCACTATTGGTCGACCTCTACTGGAGACACGCCTAAGTAGTTCGATTAACGTCACACTAGGGCAAGTCTCGATGAAATTAACATGAACCAAAAACCTTTTCAGCATCTTGCTGAATCCACAACTTGAAATAATTCAGCGTGTCCTTGAAAAAGATGACTGCCATAAAATCATATTCCAAATCAGGGTGCGTATTTTAAAGATGTTCTATGAAAGGATTTTCCTACCAATGAGTCAATCATATCTTTTAAATCAGTTTACATTGAAAGGTTGTGACACATGGCAAGTGCTCAACATACCACGCTATAACTCGCAGGGGAAGTAATAACACTAAGACAACAAATGGTCACAGACCCATAGAACTGCAACAGTTACTAATCATGATAATCTCTGCATGCCACCGTTTTCTTTATCTTTTTATGCAGAGGTTCATCAAGTTGTGGCACATTTTTTGCCATGTTCCATGTTTCCTTCTTAATAACTTACCTCTTTGCCACAGCAATACTGAGTCTGAGTGGCTTTCCCCCCAGCATCGTCCCCTGGCACTCCTCGATCGCCTTCTTCTGCTCGCTCTCCTCCCCAAACTTGACGAAGCCATAACCTCTGCAGGTCAAACAACAGTTACACCTCCTCTCCACACCACCACACACTCCATACTTGGCATTTAATAGCCACTTATAATGAGAAACAGAATATAATGGGTATTATTATGGTAGAACTGAAACTTGTTGTTTTACTTTTAACATGAGGTAGCATCACTTGAATTGTGAGTTGCTCTTGCTTAGCCTATATGGGGAAAACAATAGTTTTAGCATAAGATGGTAAGAAAACATTTCTTCAGCCTTTTCTCGAAAATAGATGAAGACGTACTGGTGGTCAACGTCCTTAGCACAGCTATCTAAATAATCATTAAACCAGGAAACATATTTATGTTATTGCGCATTTCATACAATAATATTCAAACCAGATAGTATAGTATACAGCACACCAAAGAAATAAATAAACAAATAATATGTAGTTCAAGAAATCATCTTAAGTCAAACTGAATACTTTTAACTTTTCTAAAGCCACTTCGCTGTCCGGTCCTTCTCTATGAACTGAGATACCTGGAGTATCCATACTGGTCAGTGACCACTTTGGCTCCCTTGCAGGAAAGGTACTTCTTGAAAACTTGGTGCAGTTGGAAGTCGTCTACCTCAGAGGCCAAGTCGCCCACAAACACTGAGAACTCCGGCCTGAGAGAAGATAAAACTTTGATCACTGATTTATGTTTGTTTGTGAGTGAGTGAGTGAGTGAGTGCAGTTGTGCTGAACGAATCTATGCGCTGCGGGCAGCTCTGCAATTGATTATGATTTTGCTCCTATTTAATAGTATGTGTGGCGGTCAGCATTGATATTGAGCTGTGTCATGTTGCCTCAAATAAATCAGTGAATGGGAAACAGCAGTGGGGTGCCGATTCTACCGATTTTTTCTGTCATCTTAGTTCTGATGTTGAGTTAGTTAGTCGACTTAGTCGACATCGATGTATGACAAACCAATCGCTGATCATCCCTTTAATCGTTGATAGCCGATCTAATCGCCAGTCGGAACAAGCCTAAACAGTTGTACTGTTTTCAGCTGTTTACTGACACTACAGCGTGGACGTGATGTAGAACACAATACATAAGGAAAAAATTGAGAAGGTAAACTCGTCTACTGGCAGTGTGAAAAGGATTATTTTTGAAGTTTAAAAACACCTGCATATTAGGGTTGGGCGATATGGCCGAAAGAGTTATGATGATAAAAATATATCATTTGAGATTGATAATTATCACGATTAATGTAATTTATTTCAGATTTAACAGCTGATTTATGCTCCTGAGTGAAACTAGATGGTTCATTCTGGTTTTAAGCTTTTCTTTATGGTCAGAACAAACATTTGATGCCATAAAGTGGATCGCTTAACAAAGGTAGAACATTCTAAAGAATTATGAATTATTTTTCTACAAATATGCAAGTAAGAGTAAAACTAAGTAAAATCTTTTTTCAGACCCTTGAACTCAACAAAATAAATATCTTAATCAAAAAAGAAATGCTTATTTGTTTATGATTCAAATTTATAAAATCAAAAATTTATTGAACATTTGAAATATTGATATTAAAGTAACTTATTAATGCGTAATGCCCAGCCCTACCGCACATACTTAATAATTTTGGTGTAAACAGGGTTTTAGGCAAAATAGTGTGTAGCATATCTTAACTTAAATTTAGACTCAAACAGTAACATGCAAAAGCTGAAAGTGAATCATATCTTACCCTGCCTCTGGCCGCTTGCCGTAGGTGGCATAGTTTAGCTTAAACTTCCGGGGCTGGACGGGGGGAGAGAAAACACAAACAATAAGCCATCCTCAAACACCAAAGACGTGTAGTATAGCACTGATATTGCTGAAAATGAAGAGTAGAGTTAAGTTTGTTGTTATTTGGGTTTACATACCTCCACCACCCAGACCAGCCCATTCCTCAGTTAGTTCCTACCAGAGACTCTATTCACCAGCTTCAAACAAAGTACATTTCATGTACAAGCAGCCTCCTTCAGCAGCAGGTACAGGCCGACGGACAGGGAGCCCAGTAGCTTGGCCAGCTCACTGGGCCAGCAGCATTTCAAATTCAGGTAAAGCTCACAAGTTTACACACTTTGAGACTTTCAAGCCGGCATGATTTTTGTTTTACATCACCACTAGGGCTGTCGCGATAACCGCAAAATTTAAATAGTGCGCTATTGGTCAAGCCTACCGCGGAGGATGGCAAGTACCGCAACAACCGCAATGTTGATACTGTACACTTCAGGGCGTGTTAAATTAATTAATAAATTAATAAATAAGTGCTTCAAAAGTTCCACAACCGTAACAAGTTCTGTAACGGTTCAAGGATGGATCACCATGGGCTGTACGTGACCCAACTTCAAACTCTGAAGCTGTAAGTGTTGCCGTGTTTTATGTTGTTTTACAGTTTATTTTAGAGGTTAGCTAACTTGGCGTTAGCATATTGCGCGGCTAATGTGGCTAGCACGCTCGGCGATGTTGGACTAACGTTGTGATCCTGAGGGACATTCCAGAGAAATTGTGGACAGTAAGCCTCATTTGAATCGGACTAACTAAGGAGCGTAGTGCGTTGGAAGTCTGCAGCTGGTTAGTTGTGGACAGCCATTCTGCTCTGTGTATGTTGCTGCGATATGTAAACTGACTTGATAGACATGCCCTGAAGGGAATTATATAGCTACGTCTGAAAAAGACACGGTCAAACTACAAAAAGGAGTTTGCTTGACAATGTTGTTGCCGAGCACGCAGCAGCTAGCTTGCTCAGACCATAAAGCTGCTGTTAGCGGCTTGTTGTGCAGTGAGGTGACAGATACAGACACTCTTACTCTGCCACTTGGCACCAAATTACTTCATTGATGAAAAATGCGATAATACCGCATACCGCGCCGTTGAGCCCCAACATATTGCCACGGTGGAAATTACTTCACCGCGACAGCCCTAATCACCACACCTTTAAATAGACTTGCTGTCACTGCAGCCAATATAGAATTTATTAATATGTTACAGATACTAATATTAATATCTGTTACAGCTATTTAGTGTTGCTTCTTTATAAATATGTTTATAAAATTTACTGGGAAAGCACACACAGCAAACCAAAACAAACGTGGCACTTTCAACCAATAGATTAACAAGAATCTGGTTTGTTTACAGTAGAGATGCACCGATTGCAATTTTCATGGTCTGTCCTGCCGTTTCCGATTTTGGCAGATTCCGATTTTCCTTCAAAAACTTAACTGAGATAACTGAGATCATACACAAACATTTTTGTAACTGTTGTTGAGTGCATGCCATGAAACAGTGTGCCACAGCATGCATTTAAATCTGACCAGCACAGGATTTGATATGTCACACTGATTGGCCCTAGTCACCGGTCATGGCTGATCAAGCTGAAAACCGGTCAGTCCAGTCACTGAATGATCGATCGGTGCATCTCTAGTTTACAGGGCAGAAGGACAACCTCATAGTTCACTGACTTATTTTAAAACATTTAGATATTAAGTTTCTGTCATAACAGAGAAGACTAGTTGAGATCCATTTTCCACAGTCAAATCATATAGAGCTGCAACCATTTGCTAATCCGTTAATTTGTTTGAGTAATTAAAAAAAGAAAAAAAAAAAAGGAAAAAAATTCACACAATTCTCTGATTCCAGCCACTTAAATACAAATATTTCTGGTTTCTTTACTCCTCTTTGACAGTAAACTGAATATCTTTGGGTTATGGACAAAACAAGACATTGGAAGACGTCATCTTAGGCTTTGGGAAACACTTATCAAAATTTTGACATTTTTTATACCAAACAAAAAATCCATTAATTGACACATTAAATCGACAGTGAAGTTAAGTTTATATAAATATATATTTATTTGTGGATAAACAATAATTATGTATATTATTGCAGTAAAGATTGCATCAAACATATATGAGTAAGTATTTTGCAATTACACCATAGAACTGACCGGATTTGATCCAGGAACCAGTTTTCCGTTGAGTCTCTGGACACAGCGGTCGACACTTGCTTCATCTGCCAGCTCCACAAAGCAATATCCTGCTGACCCACTGCACAGGAGGAAAGATATGTTATCTGTGGGCAAACCTATCAGCACATCTTATACTGTAGCAGTTGCCCTCAGGCTTTAACACAAAGGCTGGTGTATGGCACGAGGTGCTCTGTATATCCTACCCCGTTATCCTGTGAGTGATGATCTTGACTCCAAACGGCGATTCTCCCATAGCGCTAAAGGCCTGCTTGATGAAGTTCTCATCCATGTATGGGTCCAACTAAACATACACGAAGAGAAATTGTAAATGCATCATGTTCAATTCCAACCACAGACAAATGTAAAAGATTTGTATAAGATTACAAATTGCAGCTCATAGACAGCACAAAGACATTTTAAGTTGGGTGTATCATCCACTCAAACGTGTCACTCCCACTTCTCAAAATCCTGTTTTTTGTCTATTGTGCTAAACTTTTTTAAATCCAGCTAAGCCGTGGTAGCTATGTAGTGTCCCATATTCTGACATTGGGTACACTTGATTGGTCGGCTACAGCCACTAACTTTTATCGCATTTTATAGCTATAGATGATGCAACACCAACGTATGCCAGGATAGCGATCAAGAGGACCCGCTCTCGCAACGTGAGTCTCAGAAAGTATGTGACTACAATGGTATTATATAAAAAATAAAGCATCATCACCAACAACAACATGTTTGTAATTTATTCATGAACCATGCAAAGGAAGGCTTAGAATATCTCCTCTTACTTCAGTGGATGTTGGTTATATTAACGCATGAGTACAATCATATTAATTCTACAGTATCCACATTACTCTTAACTCTTTCCCCAGGTATTTACCACATTGATGCTGTATACGCTAAATAGCTCTTATTAGGCTTCATTGCTGTTCTTACTAGTATCTATTGTCACTCCTAGATCTCTTACTTTTTTGATGCTTTTATGTGGTGCCACAAATGTAAGTTGCTTGGGATAAAAGCGTCTGCCAAATTGGTAAATGTGATGTTCATATAAAATAAGTCCTCTCCTCTCTTGTGTCTCTGAAATACGGATCTTTCCCTCCTTCTGATATAAAACAAACCAAAAAATACATGCTATTTCAGTTACAAGGACCCAAATGGACTACCTTGGTAACTTACATTGGGTAGATTATCTTTTGCTTTATGTACCGTAAACTCTAATGTTACCGGTCCTGTTCTTCAAAGTATAATTTAGTTATATCCCCAATTAAATAACATTATAATGTTACAGCATGGTTATGAGTTAAAAAATGGAAAGAGTTAAGATGGATGTGTCGGATGTATATTTACCACTCTTTCGACATGATTATTAAACTAAACACGGTAACTATCTTAATCATAATGTGGTTTAAATAGCTTTTAGTGCGTATGTAACGTTAACGTTAGTCGATGCTTAACGTTACTGTAACGGCAGCTCGCAGTCACTCCATTAGCTAACGGTTGCTACAAGGCGAAGAGCGTCGGGAACAATACATGGAAGAAAAGGCAGTTTGGTGAATCGTTTGCACACCAATGTTAGCTAATATTGTTGTTCTACCAACGAAGTAACGTTATCGTGGCACAGAGGTTAGAGATTTTAAATCAGTTCATCGTTATCGTATTTTCAGAGCTAGGAACCAGCACGCGTTGCTAAGCTAACGTAACTTAAGAAACGTTGAGACTTCAGACATACATCACCCATCCACAGGCTCGTCTGTCTGTTAAACATCTTGGATTTTTGTGGAAGTGAGATGAAACCGTAGAGGATTCCGTGGGTGTTTGATTTGGGGTGCAAAAAAATTTGTTTTTCAACGTTAAAAGTTCTCCAAACGTTCACGCAGACGACGTGAATTCGTTGTTCCTCTTCCGTCTCAAGTTACTTCCGGTGTTCTGCCGAGTTTTTTCCCCACAACTTTATTAATAGAATAGAATCTGAACAGGTATTTATTATTCCTTAAAACTAACTAGTCGCTATTTAAAAGCTACTAGTACTTTATTTATTAGTAGTTAGTAATAACTATCTTTAGTTACTAATAACTAATTGCACATTCTAGTAACTATTCCAAAAGATACTCTTACTAGTACATTATTTTAGGTCATTAATGACTAGTAAAATGGCTTGTTGAGTAACATTTCCATTCTTCCTAGTAAGAAAGTAATAGTTACTAGTGACTAATGGAATAGTTATGTGTAACTAAAAAATAAGCACTAGTAGATAAACAATAGCGACTAGTAAAATGGAAATGGTGACAAGTAACTATTCAATTGGTTACTAGTAGCTAATGAATAGATGATATCTGAACTGCAGAGCCCCATAGATTTCAAAGGCAAAAGTTTGCCAGCTACTAGTAACTAATGGAATAGTTACTATATTACTAATGTTACTAGTGACTAATAAATAAGTAAATAAGTACTAGTAGCTTTTAAATATATATTAAATGGGTGATGATGGTGCAATGGTTAAGACACATGTGACCCGGGTTTGATTCCCACTGTGACCCATCCACCAATGTGTGCCTGAGCAAGACACTTAACCCACTGTTGCTCCAGATGCGTGCGACCTCTGACATGTATAGCTCGCTTTGGATAAAAGCATCTGCTAAATGAATTAATGTAATGACTTTTTAAGGTACAAATGTTAAAACAACTTGGTATAAACAATACAGGGAGTACAGGTTATATGTAAAGAACCAAAAGTCACATTAAAAAGTACAACCATAAAATAGACAATCTTAGATTTACAAAAAGAAATTATAGGCCATAGGTGAAAACCCCCCAAATATAATTGTTTGGTGAACCTTTGAGTATATTAACCTCAGTAGAAGTACCATCCATCCATCCATCGTCAACCGCTTATCCTGTGTACAGGGTCGTGGGGTCAGTAGAAGTACTGACATATTTATTTTCTTGAATTTGTGAAGTTAATCACTAATCCTAAAATAAATATTATATAAACATTAAAAAAGTTCTCAATTAAAGTTCTATATGAATGAAGTCTATTATCATTACAATTAAAGCTGGGGTAGGCAACCTTGGAGAAGTAGCAAGAGACAGCTAAATTTTGAAAGTATCCAACCGAAACAAATTCCACCTTCCTTCCTTCATGCCTCCCTCTAAAGCCACTACCTCAAAACACATGTTCATGCACAGTGAGTGTATGAGTGAAATGAATTAATTGATTGGCTGTGCTTATTATAGTCCTGCTACAACCACAGGATTCTTTTGTTATTTCTATGTCAGAGCTTTTGATTTATTCAACGCTGTCAGGATGTAAAGAAAATTTCAGCTACTTTTACAAAAATAAACTGAAATATATGGCATATCCTAGGTTTAACCAGTTAAAAAGTATATTATTACTTCAGCGGCACTCTCCTGATCATGACCATGAAAAGCCTGTTTCACGATATCCTAATGTTCTCCTGTCAGTTTGCCCCCCCTGATAGATTTGCTAAGCTAATAAATATCTCTGCATGGTGAAACAAAAAGAGGCTGGAGAGTTTACTGAATAGGTGAAGGAGATATGACATGGAAGAAGTGTGCAGATATAATCCAGAAAATGTCATCTATACTGAGTATTACAACAGCCAGCTGACGCCGTCATTGTCTGACTGGACTTTGGCTCCATCTGGTGTTCTTATGACACACCGGTATTCAGCCCTGCAGGAGGCCTCAGTGCTGCTGGCTTCAAACTCCAAATGAGCTGATGGTGCACACACTTGTCAAATCAGCAGCTACTTAATCTCAGGTGTGGCTGCTGCTCACATTTAATGGTATTTTGTGTCACACTGTGTGGTTAATTTCCAAGTTTTCAAGGTAAAATTATTCTACTTTGTTTTTATCACAACAACATGTCAAGTGTATGTGAAAAATTTGGAAGCCTCATTTTTGGGTGATGGCAGTAGCTTAATGAGTTTTTTAAATAGAATTTTAAAACAATTTAATGATTCAGTTAAATCTTGACTCAGGATTTACTCTTTTTCATCATCATATCACTTCAAGTATAGAAAGCACTGCAACTTTAAAAACTTTTGATTTATTTACTTATGATCTCCCTGAAAAGGACATCGCAACGTCAGACAGTTGCATACTTGAAATGGTGATCAATACAAGTGAAAACTGTTGAAATATTACTTGCCATGAAATGTAGACCTAAGAAAATCCTATCCATGCATGGACACACAAATGTTTATGGGTTTGGGTGCCACAGATAAGAGGGAGAGATGGAGGTTTTTTATTTTTTAAAAGTGTTTTGGTTGTGGGCAAGTCAGACATGTCTGTGGTTGATTGGGTATTTTGACTGACCAGTATTTCTAAAATTGTGAAAATCTTCGTGGCACTGACTTCTTTCTTGGATGTTTGTGCTATATCAGCTAAAGAGCTGTTGGGCAAAATTCACAAGCCAACCAATCAAAAAATATATATATTTTAAAAAATACATTATTACATTTGCAGCATGTTGGGTGCAGTTAATATTATAGTGAACAGCTTGCATTCTGCGTAATGTGTTGAATATGGAGTACTGATCTCAATTTGCAGTATGTTTCTTTTTTTTTTAGACAGTGACCCACTTTTTAATAACAAAACATTCACAGAACTTTCACCACACTAAAGATCTTAAGATTTAACTTGCTCCCATTACTGTAATGTGGATGCTCACTAACAGTCCTCCACCTGCATGTAGGTTGAATATGGCAGCTGCTAACAGACCATCACCAGCTCAGTCAGGACCAAATGGAGGGAACATACACACTCGCCCGAGCAGCGGTATAACAAACTCTGGACAACAGGACCCAGGACCTCCGTTCCATCCCCAACACCACATGTCTGCCCGGCCTGTCTTCTACATCCCTGCCCCGGCTCCACCCCCACCCCCTTTCCTCCACTACCAATGGCCCATGCCCTTCTCTTATAACCCCTTTGCTGGCTTCCCAGGCATGGGTGAGTCTTGTGTGCTTTTACTTTTCCAGTTAGTTTGTTTTTGGACTATGATACAAGGAGTGGCCACAATAATATTACAAGCCTGCTGGTGTCAAATGCAAATGTCCTGAAATATGTAATGCGATGTAAAGTACAATTGGATTTAATTACACTGCAACTATTTTTAAACTTGAACAATCATCTCAGTTGGTTGAGTTAACCATATTTTCCCTTACACCTCAGGCTATGGTATGGTCATGCCCCCATTCCCTCCTCCCCCTACATGGAGTCTCCAGCCTACATTATGCCCAACCCTCAAATCCAGCCAGTTGACTACAGGCGCTTCCTCCACCCCCATTTCCATGCTCCCAGTGCACCCTATCAGAACCCAAACCAGACCCGCAGGGGTCACCTGCCTCATGCTGTCCCTCCTAGAGAAACCGTAAACTCCGAGGTCCAAACAGAACCCACACAAAGAGGCCTAGATGCTTTTGATGAGGGAAGCCCGCATATCAGCTCAGATTGTGGGCTAGGAACTGCCTCAATCTCTCCCTCCTCTTCAAGCTCCAGCTCCCCAAAACAAGGCCCTACCAAGGCTGAGGACTATACCAAACCCAGCAGTAATTCAAATGACTTGCATGTTAAC